CAACAGCCTGCGCGGTCCTTGGTAACCCGGACGACGTCCGAGCCGGTATCATTTTCGATGGCGTCAATGCGATGAGTAGCAGGTGGCTAAATTTTACGGAGACTTGCCACGGTCTCCAACCTTCTTCCTTTCTCATCCGGGCATGGGACTGGCAATGGCGGAGTCTGTCGTTTCCTGGAACAATGATTTGGCCGGCACCAGTATATAGTCACTACCGGTGTTCAATGATGACATTAGTGCTGTATCTCTGATTGTGCGAAATTTGCCGAGCAGGACGATGTTGATACCTTTCTTTGTCGCTGCGTTCGGGTGATCGATATTCACATCCTGTGTCTTCTTCTTGAAACGACTGTTGTCAGCGTACAGGTGTCTGGCTTCTGCCATGATCACTAAGCAATCTCTTCTCTCATTTCGCTTTCCGGTGCTACACGCCCCTGACAAGTTATTCTCCGGACGTTTCTTGTCTGACTCAGACATCGAAACCTCCCCTGACGACAACGTACTAAGACTTACCGACCAATGCCCTTTCCAGTTCTTGATAGAATTCTTCCACTTCACCTTCGCTGTACTTGTGAGAGCATAAGCCTGAATGATATTCAAGGCCCTCTTTTAGTTCAGTTGGTAGCTTCTATGGCATAAGGCGATTTTGGGAAACAGCTTTGGTTGAATACAAATCTGATCCCTTTTATGTTCCTCGCGTCCTCTACTTTCCCTAGCGAAATCGAACTACAGTCTTCCGAAATGTCACTCATCTTCCGCCGACGTGTCACGCAGAAAACAACGAAGTCGCAGGCCATCCCTGACCTTTCATTCATTAGTTGGTCCAACGATTCTTCCATTGCCAGCGTTCTACAGTTGCAGATGTAAGAGGCGAATTAACAAACAATCCAGATAACGGTTTTTCACACGGTGTTGTTAGTAGCCTATCATCCGCCGAGCATGAACCCCCACTGCGTTACTGGTACAGAGACGCGTAAGGCACTGACACTAAGGCCCATTATTCGTATTGTCACAGCTCATGAGGTTTTGCTACCCGTTGGTGGGAATGTCGGCGGCCTGGGTAATTTCGCCAGACTGTCTCCTAACATCGACCAGTTTTCTATCGAAGTTACCTCTTCTTGCCTTCGAAAAACTGACATGTAGAAAACGACAGCGACATTGACGTTCTTTTATCGCCAAATGGGCCGGTACCTTTTGTCTTAACATGAGATTCGCACTAAGATTTTCTCGGAAGATAGAACTTTAACCAGGTGATAACGTTGTGGTCTTAATCTAATTAACAAACAGACCAACAACCAGATACGGTCATGAAAATGTAATACCTTGAACAATAGTTATCATGAACGTTGTACGGCTTATACGAATATTTATTGGATTTTATTTATTATTTATTCAACGACAAAACAATCTCAAATTCAGTTAGTAGCACAAAATTCAGCTTTCCGGTAGCTTTAATATCTAATATAAAATCTTCCCATTGATTGAAATACATGTCAGACAAATGCACTGATACTGTAATAAGTTAATCTTAAATCAAACAACAGGAACGCTAAAACGAAGCGCATTCTTTCAACGGAAGTAGTGGCACAGTTCATCATACAGGATAAGATCATTTTTTTGAATAGACTCTCTCAAAACAGGACTCTGAAATACTAAACGATGTGTACGAATGTAGTCAAGATGGAATAAGGTGGTATCATCGATAAGGCGACAGAAACTTTTAAGGGTCGAAATTTTACGTAGCTCGTCGCTATTATGACTATTTCTGATACGCTGGATCATTATTTCATAGCGTTCCACAACGGCCTTAACATTTGCCTCGTCTGCTAGCCAGTCCTTCACACTGACACCATCCTTAGTTTTCTGTTTCAGCAATGCCTTCGTAACGCCTTCGTTAATGTCGTCCACTGCCGCGTCGATCTGTGAATACGAGAGCTTCCTGGCTCGGTATATGCACAGTGCCATCACGCTGACGGGCATTTTTGCAAATAAGAACTCAAGTGCCATCGTATAGACCAAGTAGGAACTGCCAACGGTTGCGTACGTCAAACCGGCTTTCAGCGCCAACGGATTGCTGATCTTCTTCATTTTGTTACCGGATAATTGCAGTGCTTGAACTGCCACTACGCCCATCAACCGATACAGTGTATACTCGTCGTTCGAAACCGCTCGACCGTACACGATCTTGATCACGTGCTGGCGGGGTGAAGTGACTGGCGTCAAAGACACCTCTTTGGTGACACCATGCTTCGGACGACGTTGTTCAATGAAACTTTGGTGAAGGACTGTTTTCAAATTCTTCGAGCGCACGTAAAACCACTGAATATCACTAAACGACATCGTAGCAAAAAGATCGCTTCTTTTGTCAAAGAAACGCGTGAAGTCGAATGCTGCATCGCCTGAAGCAACTTCTTGAGCGATATCCATTCGAACAACGATTCAAAGGACTGATCGATCCGGGTCTCAGTTCTAAAACAACACGTTTCATCAGCAAACATTATATTGGTTCGTGGCACTTTGACAAATATACTGTTTTAAAATACAACACTGCAAAATCTTGTGTTGCCATTCGTTGGCAAATAAGGGAGCGTTGCACGGTCGTATAATCGGAATCCAGCAGAACAGTTAGAATGGGATGATCTTAAAAGCCCTGTCAACAGAAAGAACCCAAAGCAAAATAATGAGCAGACAACAATGGCACGTAATTAGTTCAGCATGGCTTGTTTTGTTATATCGCAGTACCTGCTACTAAACATTTTGAACTCTTCACTGATAGAGCGACAATTCCTCTAACTTGCAGTTTGCTTTCGTATATATTCTTACCAATTTTAGATTTCACCGCTATCACACTGATCCACTGTGCAATCCCCTTCATTCAGATGGGGATAAGCACACCATGTGACAAGTCCAACGGGAAGTTCGCCAACTGGAGCAGCAAGACTGTTGCTTGCAAGACTGATCTTGCATTGGAATTATAATGGTTCAACTCCTTTTCAAACCGGAAGATAAAGGCATTTCTGTTAATTCAATCGACGAACACATGAATAAGGATACCGGTATGACGCTACGTTCGCACTGAAAGAAAATTATGATGTAACGCCAACTATCGAGGGAAGCTAAAAGCTTCATAATGAAGTTGCAACTTGAGTGAACAATTTATACGAAAACACTGTATCTACATTATGCACCGGCTGAAAAAAATCTTCGAAGAATTACAAAAGACAGCTACCGCTAATCGGAGAGATCTTAAATTGTTTATCGTAGTCACTAGTTAGTATTAAATTGAGGCCTGCGACAATATCTCTGCATAGTAAACACTGATGGAAGGAAAAGTTCTCGCCACTAGGCAGAGTACCGCTGTCTGTAACATTGGTGGCAGTGGATCTAACTAAAGACCACTTGTCTAAACCATCGTACCATGAAAAAATCTTCGGCAAATCAACTGAAGTAGCCGTTTTGTTTACATGGGATGCTGCTCATATAGGTACGCTACGCAACTCCGACACCATCATACGATTTAATCAGTTTATTCAATACTATGGTTAACTTTACTTCATTAGTCATAAGTAACTGCCTGATAGTTCAGCAGATTCTACACTAGCAGGGAAAAAATACAATCGGCAGACATATTTCAGCATGTTAAAAACTGAACCGGCATTAAGGACTGTTCCAACCCATTATATCAACCTTCGGATGATTGACCTGAGCAATCATAGTTCCTGATTTAATTCAGTAATTCTGATACTTCGTATGAATATCTCTGCATATATACATTTATTATTTAACTATAAACCTTACTGAAATTATTCATGATAGCCGTAGAAAAGCCATTCAAAACACTCCTTTAGGAAAATCAGCAGCTGAACATAAATGAGC